TTACAATTACTGTCTAGAAGTACCCCCAGCAACTTCGTGCAGTCTGTTTTATCTATTGCTGCTTCTATAGTGGCTTGATGGTTTAATAAATTATTTGACGTGAAAATCGTATACTTTGATTTCTCTTCATTCAAAACTAATTTGTTGGATAAGAAATAACTTTTGATGGTGGATAGTATCTGTGAAGTTTTATTTTGCAAATTTTGATCAGACGTTCCTGTGACTAGAATGTTGGTATCATCCGCATAACTGTTAATGTTAACCCCAGTCAGTGAATTAGTTACCAAAGTTATATCATTAATAAATACTATAAAAAGTAGAGGACCCAATACACTACCTGAGGGATACCATAATGGATATCCAGTGTGTTTGATTCGTTTACAAGTTCATTAGATGTTATCTTTACTTTTTGTCTTTTATTCTCTAGGTAGGAAGTAAACCATTTTAGAAACTATACCACGAATACCAATCCCCTCATCCCCTCAAGTTTTATTAGCAACAAATTATGATCCAAAGTGTCAAAAGCCTTGGACAAATCGAGAAATAAACTGCATAATACAGAACGCCAGTTAATAAAGTTTTTCCGTGCGAGTTCTATGCTGGTCAAAATTTCCTCGTCACTTTCAACCCTGCAGTCAATCCAGCTACATAGATATCTATAGTGTTCCACCCTTTCCAGGATTTTGTTATCTAATCTTATTACTGAGTCTTCGATATTAATTTTTCCGACCACCATCCATTTTGTTTTTTTTTGCGATGATTGTTAAGCCCTTTTCAGTGCATTTGTTATTTACAGCATTCAACAGGGTTTGAAGATCTTCTAAACTCTCTGCCATTATTGCGGCCATTAGTTCAGCTTCAGTTAAGCTATAAGGTTTAGGTTATGTGATGATATGATACGTCTTTTCCAAGTCTTCTGTCATTTTTTTCTTCTACTCCTACTAATAGTTCAGCTTTAGATAAGCTATAATTTAGGGAACTATAGATGCCATAAGCTGTTAATTAAGTTGATTAAAATTTCAGGTCCTTCTCCCTTGCAAATTGCATCTCCTTCAAATCTTATTTGGTTTTCCTCTCCTACTTGTCACACCACCAGTTAAGCTATAATTTCGAGGACTTTAGATTCTATAAACTATTAATTACGTTAATTATAATTGCAGATGTAGGTTATGTGATGATATGATACTTTTTTTCCATGTCTTCTATCATTGTTCTCTTCTACTCCTACTAATAGTTCAGCTTTAGATAAGCTATAATTTAGGGAACTATAGATGCCATAAGCTGTTAATTAAGTTGATTAAAATTTCAGGTCCTTCTCCCTTGCCAATTACATCTCCTTCAAATCTTATTTGGTTTTCCTCTTCTACTTATCATACCACCAGTTAAGCTATAATTTCGAGGACTTTAGATTCTATAAACTATTAATTACGTTAATTATAATTGCAGATGTAGGTTATGTGATGATACGAAGTGTTTCCCCCAAGTCTTCTTTGGTTTTTTTATCCTATTTATCACACTACTAATTCAGCTTCAGTTAAGATATAATTTGAATGACTATATATACCATAAACTGCTAATTAAGTTAATTATAATTGCAGGTTTGGGTTATGTGATGATAAAAATTGTGGACTGTGTTAATATTACTGTGATTGTGTGATTGATTATACACAAGGGTTATTAAACCAATGATAACCCATGGCTCGGTGACGGGGTGGACAAAGACGCAGTAAGTCGGAGCAGCAAGGCTGCAAGATAATACACAAAGGCTAGCATGCCAAAGGCTAGCATGCCTATGTATTACGGTGGTCATAAAAACAACTCCCACAGCAGCGTTGGAGGTTCTGCTAAATTTACCACCCTTTCATATCTTTATACAGGGCGAATCCAGATCAGTGACGCATAAATTAATTTATAGTCAGCGACATATAAGCCAGATGCATGGTGCTGACAACAGAAAGCTAATCAGAGACAGACAACAAAGAAGCTAGAAGTCGATATTGTGATGGGGCTACCTATCGATACAACAGCTACGAGATATAGCTTTAATAATAAGTTCACAATTAAGATACCAGCTAGGGAAGACTGCAATAAAGGTGTACCCATACAGATTGATTCATAACGATTGGGACATAGACTAAGGACAGGTTATTTGGACCAAAATATGGATATTGGGCCAAATATGCCTTAATAAAATGCTGCTGAGAAAAAAGATATAGGTTGTTAAATTTAATTTTTGTTTTTCGTTTTTTGCTTATAGTTTCCCTGTATATTTTGGCACAGAGGCATAATTTTCGACAAGAAATAGTATTTTATTTACAATTCCATTATCAAATACCAAACTAATAAACAAAGTTGCAACTAACGTAAGGTTTCCCTTTTTGACGATAAATCAAAACTAAACACACTTTAACTTAAAAAAACTCACAAAAACTCAAACTAAATGTTGACATGATCTCCTCCGATTTCCATGCCTTTTCTAATTCTTTTTATAAAGGATTTTCGGACGTTAAAAAAATATTATTCTGTCCCCTTATAAGATTAGCTGCATTTTGAATGTATCTCCAAAGTTTGTCTCGTGTATTAATTTCATTGGCATAAACTAAGGACTTCATATGTCCCCAAAAATAAAAATCTAGCAGGTTGTACTCAGGACTTCTTAGTGGTCATTGAAAATCACGGCCTCTGCCAATCCATCGTTGAGGAAATACGTCATTAAGATGATTTCTAACAGCTAATGGAAATGAGGTGGCGCTCCATCCTGCATAAACCACATTTTTCTTCTTACATCTAGTGACAGATCGTCTAAAATATCACTAAGAGTATTTTCCAAAACGAATAAATAAGAATCTCCATTTAAACTCGGAAGAAGAACATAAGGCCCTAGTAGTTGGTCGCCTATAATGCCACACCAAATATTAAATTTAAACTCATACTGAAAATGTCTAGCTTTAATCTCATGCGGGTTTTCTTCTTCCCAATAATGACTATTTCGCCAATTAAAAACCCCTCATTTGGTAAAAGTTGCTTTGTCGGTGAACATAATATTCTTAATAAAGTGGCTGTCATTGCGATGTTTATTCAGAATACGTTGGCAAAACTGTAACCATCGTGGAAGATCTGTTGGAAGTAAATTTTGAACAGGAGTGAAGTTGTAAGGATGAAGGTTCCTTTTTTTTCGAATTCTAACAATAGACGACTGACTTACTCCTGTTGCTGCTGATAGATGTCGTGAACTTATTTCAGGATTTTCATCTACTCGAACCAAAAGTTCATCTTCTTGATTAGGTGTGATTTGTTTCGGTCGACCACCCCGATTTTTAGTGTGAAATGACCCAGTTTCACCTAAACTACGATATATCCTTGCAAAAGTTTTGTGATTTGGTTGCCTTCTGTTTGCGTATAACATTCCATACCTTCTGGCTGCCGAGTGACCGCAAAAATTTTCTTGTGCGTATACGCAAATCTTATCTCGCATTTCTTCATTAGTAAAATGATTGTGACGAGGCATTTCAATCAAAAAAAGTAGTGATTACTTTAAAAAATTATCTGACAGTCCAAAGCATACTTTTCATAAATAAAATAATATTTGAAATCCTTCTTTAAGACTCTAAGCAGTTCGACTGCGTTTTTATCGAAAACGGTTGAAATTATCATGTTTAAACAAGAGTACCAATTTTACGTAACAATGATATTTACGTCATATTTTCTAATAAAAATTACTAAAAAGTTTCATCAGAAAAAGTTTAGACTCAATTTGATCATTAGGAATGATCCACGTGGCGCCCTCTATGACAAAACGTAAAATTGTAAATAAAATACTATTTCTTGTCTAAGATTATGCCTCTGTGCTAATTTTGATAGCAATTTATAAATATACAGAAAAACTATTAGCAAAAAACGAAAAACAAAAATTAACTTTAAAACCCAGTATATTTTTTCTCAGCAACATTTTATTAAGGCATATTTGGCCCAATAGCCATAATTTAGTCCAAATAACCTGTCCTTAGTCTATGTCCCAATAGTTATGACTCACCCTGTATAAGCTGCTGCTACCTGGTACACGGATGGCTCAAAAAAATCAAGCGATACATTTCCCGATAAGTTTATCCAAGGATGTGCCAGTTTTTCAGGTGGAAATAAGAGCAATCCATCACTGTGTGAAAGAAATAGAAAGGCAGGAAAGAACGTCCCGTTCAGTTACCAACTTCATAGATAGTCAGGCAGCGCTTAAGGCACTCAATTCTATAGAGGTCAATTTTTAGCTAGTATGGGATTGCGTTTGTGCCCTAAATAAACTAGGAGACCGTAGCAAGTTTACAGTAGCCTGGGTACTCGGGCACGAGGGTAATAAGGGCAATGAAAAAGCAAATAAAATGGACAAACAAGGGTCATCTATGCCATTCATTGAACTGGAACGTTTCTGCGGCATTGCAAAACAGTAATAAGAACGGCTACAAAGAAGTGGGTGGCTCACAAATCTCTAGAATGGTGGAGGAATTCACCAGGACAAAGACAGGTGAAACAGTTTATTACAGAACATTCGCCAAAATTTACGGCAGATCTAATAAATAAAGACAGGAAAAAAGCCACTGTACAAGGCATTGTAAGCTGAATGGGCGCTTGGCTGTCTGATGAGATTATCAGATGATGATGATCTGTGCAGATTCTGTCACCTCGAAGAAGAAACAGCAGAGCACATTCTATGTCAGTGTGACAGTCTGGGAAATGTGGGGTTCCTTGCATTAGGAGAAGAAAATCCACTGGTAAATAGCTACATGGGAGGTACAGTCTCGAATCTATTAGGCTTTTTAAAAAGGCTCAGGCTAGAGAAAGTTATCTAGGACTAAAGAATCATAATAGATCTAACAAGGTCGAAGTGAAATAGCCCAAAAAGCCACCACTCTAAATCTATCTATGTAATATTACAGATTTAAAATAAAAACAATTCCACTTTTTATAGTTCTAAGCATTTATATTAAATAATAAAAAAATGTTCTTACCTTTATAATCTGTGACGTTGGGGCAATTAACAACTCCGTTACAGACGAGCCTGGCTGGAATGCATAGCCCCTGTTCGCCGGGACAAGCGAATTCACACCCGTCTCCCAGAGGATCTTCTGGATTGCCACCCTCAGTCAGTCGACTCGACATCAAAGAGGAACCATCCACGTTTCGGGGTAAATGGAACATCTCCGTCCAGGCGATCTTAAATGCAGCACGTGTTGGTGAAGTTCTACCTATAATTTCAATTTCAACATTTGTTACCATGGCACACTTACGGAGTTAGTATATAGTACGGAGGCATACATAAATGTATGTCACGGTATATTTCGGTTAACTACAAACTGACAGGTATCAAATATTGCACAATGTTAAAAAAGTGCCCGATATACAGGGTGATTCTTTGAGAGTTATAATAACATTAGAAATTTAAGAGAAACTTGATATAATTATTATCTGTAATATTTAAAACAGACACCTGCAGAGGAGCCTAAAAAGGAAGATCAAATTAGCCAAAGAAAAATGGATAAGAGAAAGGTGCGACGAAATGAAGGATGTAATATCTAAACACGACTTATTTAATGTAGACAAAAAAATAAAAGAAATGAGTAACATATTTAAAAAACGAGTTCCCTCTGTACTCGTTGGCAATAAAAACAAAATTATTGTAAATGAGCATGAAATAAGAAAAGAATGGCAGCTGTATATATCAGAGTTGTTTGAAGATGATAGGATATTTAATGATAAAATTAGAAGAAAAGCTTGTGGTCCAGATGATACACAAACTGAGGTGCAGAAACTAATAGAGAACTATAACATAAAATTAGTAGTAAGACTTTTTAATTCAATATATAACAATGGAGTGATTCCCACAGATTGGCTCAAATCCATCTTTGTCGCAATACCTAAAAAACACAATGCGAGAAAATGCTCAGTTTATCGATCATTTAGTCTAATAGGAAACACTCTTAAAATTTTCCTAAGAATACTTCACAACAGAATTAGACGCAAATGCGAAGAAGATCTCGAAGATACCTAATTTGATTTTAGAAATGCTATGGTAACCAGGGAGCCACTTTATCATTACAAATAGTACAGAAAACACTTTCATTGTCTATAATCTTCATTTCACTGTTGCCACCAACCCAACTCCGCAATAGACTTGATTTTTGTTTCGCTACTTTCGGCATATTTTCAAGAAAGAAACTATTTTGATTTTATAAGCACAATATTCACAATCACAAGTTGCTTTGCTAGCTGGTAAAGAGAATTTAAAAACGAATTTACTGTATAATACCTAGCTAAAAGTATTGATCATGAACAAAATTGAAGCATTGGAAATCTAGATTCATAGACGAATGCTGAAGATACCTTGGATAGCAAGGAAAACTAATAAAGAAGTATTAAGGAGCATCAACAAAGATAGAGAACTGCTAAGACTGTTAAACATCGAAAAATGTCTTATCTGGGTTATATAGTAAGGGGAAGTCGATATAGAATTGAGTTGTTATCAACAGGTCCTCGAAGACACTTCGTCTCAGGACCATTTTACCTATGTAGGGTCATACGTCGCCTTGTTACCAATTCCAACGGTAACTTATGCCTGGTTGCACCAACATATCTTAAGCTTAAGGCGTGCCTTAAGCTCAACTTACGAAACATACGCGTTGCACCATTGAGTCTTGCCACGTGAATTTCATCTTAAATTTCGTCTTAATTAAGACTTGCTTAGATAAGAATAAGAAAATTATGGTGCAATGCAAGTGAGAGTTAAGCACGAGTTAAGACGGCCCTAGCTATAAGCGGAGCTGGGCTAAGCTAGAGCTTAAGATCTGTTGGTGCAACCAGGCATTAAACATCCTAATCTGTAACCATATATAATGTAAAACAACTGTACATTTATAACATTTAAAGGGTTTTGACCCATATATTTTGGTGGCTCATAGCATGTTTACCTTGTTTACACTGATGATGGATTTAACAATCCGAAACGTTTTGTAATGTAATTGTGATAGCCCGTTTGGGCATTTTATTATATACCTTTTATAAAGGATTTGAAATAAATTTTTTGTGATATATGGTATACAGCCAGCTACAGGAACTCAGTTTCATAGTGGATTTTTCTATATAGAATATTACAAATGATCCTTAAAGTGAATATAGAGGACTGTAGAGGTGTAGGTAGAAAACGGGTTTTTTGGTTGAGGGACATTCGTGAATGGACTCGAATATCAAATGAGGGACAATTACTCCATATTGCAGAAGGTCGCGAAGCCTTCGTAATGGTGATCGCCAACGTCGGATAATTCTGATATGGCCTGCGAAGAAGAAGAAGAATATCTGAATATTTATAATATGGGATTTGTTGGATATGCCAATAATTCTAAAATATCTAGAGCCTCCTAAAACGTTCGGTTATACAAAAAAATATACTAAGTTGACTAAAATTCCCTTATTTTAAATATATTGCTCTGTATGATAGCTATGTATATAATAGTTGCGTTACGGATCATGCAGTACAGTAAGGTCTCTTTTTCTTTCTATTTTTTCTTCTTCTTTTTATATAGACATAACTCTGTCTGTTTTTTAACGTGCCTCCAGTTAATTGTAGTTTCATCGTTTTCTATGACTAACACATACTTTTACCGGAGACCAGTAGTACAATAAAAACTTTAAAAATAAATTATTTGTGCGTCGTAGAAAAAATATAGTATGCAAATCTTTACCCTTTTCCTTTTTTTTTATTTAACGTCTCGTAAGTCAAAATCGGATCAATAACAACGAAGATATGATTTTTTTATTTATTCTGTAAACAATAACGTAATCTGCAAATGTCTTCTTAACTATATGCGCGTACTGTATTCTTTATATTTTCTGTGATACCTCACATGTCGTTCTACAAACCTAATGCCTCTTTGGCCGGTCGCCATGTTTGATTTTTGTCATTGTATTCTTTACGTTATATATCGTTTTCAGCAATACATGAATTGCTTTGACTTTTTAACTATACCCTGTATATAAACAAGAAGTGATAGACGAAAAAAAGAAGAAGAACGATGATACGTCGTAGTGTCTTCTTGATATCAGGCTATATATATATATATATATATATATATATATATTATATATATATAGGGTGAAGTAAGGTATATTCGTGATATAAGTAAATTCGTGATAAATTTCTAATAATTCGTCACGATCTAGCCTATTGCCTTATAGCAGCAGTTTTGTTGCAGTCTCTAGCGGAAAGACTCGACAACCTTCCCCACCACTGCAAGTCAAATTGCGAAGCTCTGTTGAACCGGGATAAAACTTATTTTTCAGTGTTATTCCTTGTGTTGACGAGAGAGCTTGAAATCTGAAGTGCATTCGTTGTTTTATTATTTATGGTGAATATTGCAAAGGTAAGTTTGTAAAAATTACGTATGATGTTGTTTATAAGTTGCTTAGTACCCCCGTTAAGTTATACAGGCAATTTTCGCCAACAGTTTTCTGAAATAGCTTAAGTTGTGAGGCGGTTTTCTTACGCATTTTAACGTTTGTTTGCGCGGGAAAATGTAACTAATTATTCGCGGTGTATTTACTCTAATTTTATTTGGATTTTTATCATAGATATAATAAATATGTGAACTATAAATATTAAATAATAAATATTATGAAGATTTTCTAACATCCAGGGTATCACGAACTTACCTGTGTCTTTTTTTTTAGAATTCAAAATGCCTAAAATATGCAAAGGAAAATATCGCCAATATGAGATCTCCGATTTATTAGAAGCCTCAAGACTTGTAAGAGTAGAGAAACTATCCATCTACAAGGCAAGTAAACAAAGTGGAATAGCCTGGAGTACACTGAAAGATTTTTTAAGTAGAAATGAAGATGACAATCACCAAGTTGCCAAACTAGGAAGGCCGTTTGCTCTTACTGCAGAAGTTGAAATTCAGTTGTTTAATTACATTATAAAAATGCAAGAATTGGGTTTTGGTTTGACGGTGCAGATGATAAGAAAGATAGCCTTTCAACTTGCACAACGTACGGAGAGAGATCACTCTTCATAAGAAACGAGTTGCTATAAATGGTGGTGCTCGTATAGAAAGCGATTCAATCTAACACGTGTTCCTAAAATTTGCTCTACAGCTCAATGTCAAATAAGAATACGGGATTTTTACAAAATTAGAAACATAATGTGACTTGGTTCAATAACGATGTCTCTGAATTGCGATGAACGACTATATGTGGTCAACAGTAAGTCGTTACTCGTTGAAAGTTATGTCTACAAAAGAGCATATCAGATAGAGGCGATGAGTGGTTTCAATTTTTTATTGCCTCAATTCCCTCTGCCCGAGCCAGTAATTTTATTAATGGATTCCCATGCATCACACATCAATCCGGAAGTTATATCTCTTGCGTCTCACAATGGTGTTTATTTATTTACATTTCCAGCCCACACTAGCCATCTGTTACAGCCACTTGATGTAGGTGTTTTATAAGTCATTAAAGGCTCATTGGGCCAAAAGCTTAAATGTTTATATGAAAGATAATGCAGAGAAGCCCAATAGAACCAATTTTCACACCATTCTAAATCCGGCATACATTTCAAGTTTTTCCGCATCAAACATTACAAATGCGTTCAGAAAATCTGGGATATGTCCCTTTGATAGCAATGCCATTCCTAAGGAAGCTTTTGCACCTTCTCTACTCACTTCTAATGAGATACCTAATCAACGTGCAGGAGCTCCTACGCAACAAAATCCATTTAGCAACATATTGTCTCTTCCAACAAAGCCAGTTGCTGCAAATCCGAATAGAAAGAAGCGCGATTCAAGAGCAAAGTGCCTTAATTCTGAAAGTGGTGTGCCTTCTTCAATAAGCGATACAGCATCTACGTCATCACCATGTGTATTAGGCCTCAATCCTGAAAGTGTTATTCCTTCTTCACCAATTCATGCACCATCTACGTCATCATCCTGTGTTCTAGCCCCAACCAATAAAAAAGCGGTTTCTGAAGATAATGACTGGGATTGCGGAATGTGTGGTAATAGTTATTCACTAGATGTCAAAAGAAAAAATGGTGCCAAGTGGGTCCAGTGTTCCTACTGCCTGATTCCATACCATGTTATGTGCCAATCGTCTGATGCCGAAGAGGATGTTTTTATGTGGACATGGTGAAACAATGAAGACACCATTAATGATTCTGAAGAAGATTAAGTTATTTGTCTACCACCTGTTTTTGTTT